CAAAGCGATTTTTCCCTATAGGGGCCATCGCTAAGCGATCGCTCTGGCGATGGCCAAAACCCCATCGCTAAGTGATTTCATCGCTCAACGGAGCAATCGTTAAGCGAGGCACCACTCTCTCTGTGTGTGTGTGTGTGTGTGTGTGTGTGTGTGTACACACACACATTAAGAGCAATGTTTTATATTAATACTCATCAAAGTTTTAATATTAATACTCATCAAGGCCATATACATCTCTGATTAATGGAGCACTTTCATGTTAGTTGAATGTACCTTTCAGAAGGTATCAAACTAATTAAATCCTTTGCAGTTTTCTGCCCATGTCAAGCCTCCTTTCAGAATAGATCTGAGTAACAACAGCAACAAAGTCTGTGGATGGAGCTATATCTAAAGACCTTGTGGAAACCATCCATATAAAGCAGGATTGCGTAATTCATGAGCCATCAAGCATGATAAAACCATGTGGTATACGCCTGATGGTATAACGATGGTTCAGGTAACCTGTTTTCTATAAGATATTACAAAAGCCACACACGCTTGGACACATTCTGTCTACTGAAGTATGTACTTACCAACAGCCCAGAAAAGCACGTTATTTCATTTTATGTGCTGTGGTTGGCTTATTTAAGAATGCAGATTACACAAATCATCTCATTCAATAAAGGGGGTCATGCATTACATAAGGGAGGCTGGCCAGAACTGGACTCTTGCAGACTGATGCTATTGTATAACAGACAGTGATGGAATAATTGACCCAGTATAAAATTAAATGGAAAGAAATTGCTGATGTCTCTCGTAACAAAACAATGTGAACTCTTTTACAAAAAACCAAAAAACTGTGATAAATGGTCTTCTGTACCCGGTTAGTTTCACCAATGGCAAATATATGCCCCTCCCTCTAAAATAAAGGAATTTTATCAGTCACTTCAGAATTTCCTCAGCCACTTTAAAGATGGATGGCTTGTTCCCCACTCTTCCCTTGGCCATGTAACATAATAAAATACATCAACATATCTCAACACCAGATTAGTGCTGAGGTAAAATATTCTTTCTTACTACTATATTGTAACAATATTCTTTGCCAGTTTACATGACCATGAAGTATCCAGCTAGAAGAGAAAAACCAGGGTGTGTGGGTCACCCCCCCCCGCTTTTTAATTATTTTTGATTCCATCAAAGAACATGCAATCTTATAAACCTCTCAAGATATATGGACAAGCTCAGCAGGGCATAATCCCTTCAATTAGCAGCAGCCCAACCATGCCAAAAGTACAAATGGTCTCTAGGTTTTGTCCTACTTTTCATTGAACAGCAATTAGCAGTTTTAGTGAGATTCTGACAGTAATCATGAAGGTAACAGTGAAGATAATGATGATGGTGGTGATGGCATTGAAAAGGGCCTTCAAGCACTTCAAAAGCAGTTTTTGGTATAGCATGGGGACTGCGGTTAGAGGGAAAGTAAGTTAACCAGATACCATAGGAACTCTTGGGCATATCCAATGAATCTTTGAGGCTTCTGGCCACAGTTTATTACAAATTGGTATAGAAGGCTTTGGCCAACATGAAAGGGGAAAACACCAGCTTGCTATGTGAGGCTGTCAACATTAGATGTTAAGAAGCTACAACAATCAATAATTCAGGCCAACCAAGTAATAAGATTATACGAAACATGTACATTTGGGGATTCTTTCATTTCTTTGAGTGTTTGCTCCACACTGTTAGGGCAATAGACTAGAAAATGGTGTTTGCTTTCTCATATTTAACCATGGGGGTTCTTCTTATTTCTTTTATAGATTTCAGCCTGCACCACCATGTTGAAACCTGAACATTCTCACGAGGGAAGAAAAAGAACATCAACTTACCGTTTTTCATTAACAGGTGTGCCACAGTAAACAGTTAACCAGGAGGCAGAAACACTAAACAGAAGGGACAGGGAAGTGGGGGAGGAAAGAGCTAAGGAAAATATGGTAGAAAGCACCCACCTTCCACATAGTTGTCTTCTGAAAGCACATAAACAAGGAGGGAGAGAAGAAGGAAAAAGAAAACATTCATTAAGCTGCATGCAGACTGGAACTTAGCTTTGCATGGAAGTTCCATGCAAGGCAACAAACACCACATGCAAGTGATCAACGGCTACTATCCAAAAGGAAGTGGGCAGGGGAGACCAAAGGCACAAGGAAGCAGTGTTTTTCTTCTGTTTATGTATGTATATAGATAAGTAAAGGTAAAGGTAAAGGTCCCCCTTGACAATTTTTTTTGTCCAGTCGTGTTCGACTCTAGGGGGCGGTGCTCATCCCCGTTTCCAAGCCATACAGCCAGCGTTTGTTCGAAGACAATCTTCCGTGGTCACATGGCCAGTGCGACTGAAACACGGAACGCTGTTACCTTCCCACCGAAGTGGTCCCTATTTATCTACTTGCATTTGCATGCTTTCGAACCGCTAGGTTGGTGGGAGCTGGGACAAGCGACGGGAGCTCACTCCGTTGTGTGGATTCGATCTTACGACTTCTGACCCGGCAGCACAGGCTTCTGCGGTTTAGCCCACAGCGCCACCACGTCCATGTATATAGATAGTATCTATCTATCTATCTATCTATCTATCTATCTATCTATATATACACACACATACATATATGTATGTATCCTGGTTCTATACACCATATGAAACAAAAAAAATAGGTGCCATTTCAAGGGTGAAGGGGGATTTTGTTTGTCAAAAGGGTCTCAGTGAAATTAGAGTTCATTCATCACAAGTCATGGGGTAAGTCACTTATTTCAGAGGATGTCATGGGTGTCCAGAGTAGTTAATTTCTAAAAAGAAAAAAAGAAAATGCGCGCACACATATACACAGTGGAGGATCTAGAATTTAAGACTATTTGAAAGGGGCAGACCCTGGTTCAGAAACCAACTCACCCTAAATCCCAGAAAAGTGGGAGACTTGTTGAGTCCATTCAGGAACAAAGGGGTGGGGGATAGTCTATGGATGGAAGCATGCTTATTCATTACTGCTTCTACATATTCTATGGAAAACATGGGGAATATATAGATTCTATATTTACACATTTACAAAAAAAAGGAAAACAAAACCAGCTCCATTCCTGCATCTTTTGCAAGAGGGAGATTCACAGGTACAGCATGTGGAATTTTTGCACCAAGGCAAAGTGTTGGGGTTTTTTTCTTAATAGGAAGAATGGCTAATATAAAATAAATAGCTAGCACCCCAAAATATTTCTGTTCCAAGAATTTGTAACTTTCACTTAATTTAACCAGAGCTGTGCTATGCAAGCATAGATATAATACAAGTTTCTTTGGGCATTGTGCTGGTTTAAGGGGTCATGACCTTATAGAAAGAATCTTGGACAGAGTGGGTTACTCAGGATCTCAATTCTTAACTGGTATACAGACTGACTGCTGGGAGGGAAAAACGGGTGAAAACACATTGAACCTCTCAAATAGATACGTCATGCCATGCTTAACTGTTCTGTTGAAGCAGAGTTAACATTTCAGCAACCAGATGGAGAGAAGGATGTTAAGAGGCAACTGTGGCTTTCAAGAGTGTGATAGAAAAGAGGTTTTCAGCAAGTCACACTCAGGTAAATGTGAGGAAAAGTGTTCCAGTTGAAAGAATCCATTTTAATAACAATAGGACGTAGATGATGGATAAGGTGCCATCAAATCAATTCCAACTTAGGGCAACCCTCCCAGGGCATTCTAAGTAGAAAGTGCCCACAAGTGGTTTCTTAGTCCCTCCTTCCAGTGGTGGTCTGGGATCATGCAGCTTGTCGTGGCAGGACATGTAACCCCATCTGCCACTCATGCTCTAGATCTCAGCTAGCTCCTCTTCCTAGAAGCACAGTGATGATTTGAATGTTTGACCCCTGGCTTTAACCAGGTGCTCTAAGCCACTGGTTCTTAACCTTGGGTTACTCAGGAGTTTTGAACTGCAACTCCCAGAAGCCTTCACCACCAACTGTGCTGGCTGGGGTTTCTGGGAGCTGCAGTTCAAAAACATCCGAGTAACAAAGGTTAAGAACCACTGCTCTAAGCCACATTGCTATATCACCTGGTGGGGGTCCTTTTAATTCCTAGAGGATCTGTCGGCCAATACAGATGATGGGCAGGTTCACAATCAGAAGCAGAACTGGCATATGCAGTAAAGGATGTGTGACTATCTTCTAGTGAATTTCAGTTTTACAAGCAGCATACTGGTTTGCTTTTGTCTGGTAACTGATTATGAGGAGAAAAGCACAGGCTTCCTTTGTATTTTGATGGCAGATGCTTCTTTGGCAGTACTGACATGTTATCAATTTCAGCTGTTTGTTTGACTCCTGGTATGAGTTGATCTTTTGTAACATGACCCATGGTGTCCCTCTTCAAAATTAGCTGAGTACTCAACCATGGGGTTAGCTGGCACTACCATCTCTGCTTTCCCATAATGTCCCTGATGTAATATGGTTCCATATTACATCAGCTTCAGAGCTGTCTGCTCAGCAAATGGAACTAATTAAGTCCAGGAAGGTATCAGCCTTTGTGGGATCTGCTTGTGCCCCAATAGCTGCTAAATGATATGGCAGAAATCCAGGAGTACATCTCAAGTAGGCCCATTGATTCAATGGAGATTTGGTGAGTCAACATCTATGTAAGTTCCACTGATTGAGCAGGACCACTCATGATTTACTAATGGATTTTGGACTGGGTGCTGATGTCAGACTTAAAAGAACCCTTGTGCTTCATGTTAGTCTAGACCAGTGGTTCCCAACATCAGGTCCCCTCATGTTCTTGGACAACTCCCAGAAATCTTGGCCAGCAAAGACTTCTGGAAGTTTTTTTTTAGGCCAAGAACATCTGGGGAACCAAGACAAAGACTTCTGGAAGTTTTTTAGTCCAAGAACATCTGGGGAACCAAGGACGGGAATCACTGCTTTAGAGCCATATAATTTTTGGCAGTACAGATGTTGTTAAAGTACTGCTGATGGTGGGTTAGGATGTGCAGTCCAACAATATCTGGAGTAGTAAACATTGCCCAATCCTGCTCTAAATTTAATTTTTTTTTCTGTGACAGACACTGTGTTATTATCATCTGCATGGTAGACATAAACCAACAGTTGCAACTCATTCTGAATTCAACTACCCTGTTTCCCCTAAAATAAGACCGTCCTGCTCTAAACTTAATTTTTTTTCTGTGACAGTGTGTTTTTATCATCTGCATAGTACACATAAACCAACAGTTGCAACTCGTTCTGTTGCAACTCATTCTGAATTCAGCTACCCTGTTTCCCCTAAAATAAGACCTAACCTGAAAATAAGCCCTAGTATTATTTTTCAAGATGCTTGTAATATAAGACCTACCCCCAAAATAAGCCCCATTTAAGTGAAACCTTGCCCTCCACCATTGTGCAGCAACCACAATAAGATGACATGACAATATTTGAATAAAGGTGGATTGCTGTACATGAAAAAATTAAAACATCTCCTGAAAATAAGCCCTAATGCATTTTTGGAGCAAAAAATAATACAAGAACCTGTCTTATTTTCAGGGAAACAGGTAGTAAAGGCTAAGAGTTCATCTCTCTCTCTCTTACACAATAATATATTTGGATCAATGCTCCAAACACCCACATACAAACATACAAGAACCTGTCATATTTTCAGGGAAACAGGGTAGTAAACGCTAAGAGTTTATCTTTCTCTCTTACACAGTAATATATTTTGATCAATGCTCCAAACACCCACATACAAACACACACATATTGAATTAATATTTATTTATATATTTTGTAATTCTAATTATCAGGATAGCTTGACCCCTTTATTGGAGGACTGTGGAATTAACGAATACACACATGCAACGCCTACAGAATCATCTGGCATTTCACATCAACAGCAATTGTTTCTCCCTACTGAAAATCTGGGAAGTACACCATGGCTCAATAAAGTGCATAGCGATTAAATATTGTGGGGAAGTAACTGGCCTCAAACACAGAATCCCACCTAACCCCATCATTTAGTGCTCTAAATTATTAGATTAGAATGATGCTAAGAGAAGCAGCAGTCATTTAAGGCTAAATAGTCAGTTCCAACCAGAGTAGAGCTTCTCAATACTGGGTCCCCAGATATTCTTGGACTACAACTCCCAGAAAACCTTGGCAGCAGAGCTAGTGGTGAAGGCTTCTGGGAGTTTTAGTCCAAGAACATCTGGGAACCACTGAACTAGAGAATGGAATTTCCTCATGAGAAGCAGGGGGAAAGGGGCATGTCCAAGACTTGGCTCATTTTATCAAAGCCTATGCAAGAGCCTATCCTTGATTTCTCATTCTCATTGATCAACAAAGAGGCAAGGAGAGAGGTTTACAGGATCTGACTCTTTCACAGATCTCATATGGCTTCTCTTGGAATGCTATCCAAACAATGGAACTCTGATTATGTACCATCCATGCTTAATAAACCTCGTGCAAATCACACTGATTCATTCAATGAATTCTAAACAAGAGTAACACCTTGATCTAGTCATAGGATTATAGCATAATGGAGTTGGAAAGGGCCTATAAGGCCATCAAATCCAACCTGCTGCTCAATGCAATAATCCAAATTAAAGTATATCTCACAGATGATTGTCTATCTTTCTTTTAAATGCATCCAGTGTTGGAATGTTCACCACTGCCTTAGTCCTAAACAAACTGGGTACAATGGATGATGTAACTGAAGTGCATCATCCATATGCACAACAAAGCTGTTCCTGAACATTTTCTGTTCAGATAGGACATTTTCTGTTCACTGAGCCCTAGCAAATTTAATTTTGAGGAAAGGAAATCTTGGAGAAAACAGGAAATGAAGCCATTTCTCTGTTAACTATCCCCACAGAGACACAAAACAGGAAAATGCAGATAATGATTGCAGAGTTGACATTCCCTTATTTTTGCAGTCCCAGATGGGCTAACAAATAGAGGTGGAACAATCTCCTGGTCAAGTCATACATGGTCAATGATCTGTAATGGGTGC